CTAGGATAACATGACCACCCTCTTCAGCTACCACACAAACCTGAGAAAAGATGTGCTTGATTTAAAGAAGCACAAATAGATACAATGTTCACACCTTTGCTCACAAGGAAGCATTTTTTTAGAATCAGATATGAAGTGTTGTTGGGCCTTAATAAAGAACTAATAGCTTACCTATAACTGATAAGAAGCCTGAAATGAAATGAAATGGGAAAAAATATTATGGATGTGAGAGAAAAACTAAGCAAAATGAAGACATGGGCTGATTGAGCTTTTTGAGTTTATTTAGTGCAGCTGTTTCATTACCCAACTAGGTAACATCTTCAATGGTTACATCTTTGATTGTTTTCTTCTGGGTAGTTCCTTGATTAGGCTGTTGTTTACTATTTGTCTGAGTTGGTAGTTCCTTATTTTCTGCTTGACCATTTGTCTAGTATTAACCCCTGTTTATCTAGGTGTTAATTGCTGGTGAAGAAGTGTTATGCTCTTCTTGTTTCCTTTTTAGCTTTTTCATTTTTTTTCTTTTGAATGGTACAAATATTACTTATCTCTATGTGCCTGTTGATGGTTGATTTATCTGAAAGCCAGCCCTCCCAAAATTCCCCAGTGTTTTTTTTTCTTTTAGGGCTTGTATAAGTTTAACAACTATAGAATGAGTACCGGGGGGGGGGAACCTGTAGCTAGCAAAATAGTAATATTACAAAAAAAAATAAGAGTAACTTGCAAGCCACACTTCCTATCCCCAGTTCAGTGCAAATATAACATTAATCAGTCTTCTCTAAGCTGCTGGCCTCCAGCTATTTTGGTCTTCAAATCCCATAATTCTTTTGTCACAATGCCTGAAAATTATGGAGACTGTAAAGTAATAAGTTACGAGAGATTATAAATAGCAAAAGTTTATATATTCATGCATCTCCATGAATAAGGTTGACCTATCACTAGAATGAAATGTTTGCTGGAACCAGAGTATATTAATGAGTAGTAGTGATCAGGATTGAATTTGGAATGTGCTGCAGCTGGTCCAGCATAGCCAGCTTAGTTGCTGTCACATTAAGCAGGATTCTATTATCACTCAACAGTTCTAAAATGAATAGGAGAAGTCGTTTTATCCTTTGTCTCAGACCCCAAATACCATGGGCCAAACTTGTCTTCATTTGTGTAGCAGCACTTGTTGTTCAGTGTACTTAAAAGAATTAAGTCAGTATAGCATCTGTATTTACAACAGGAGCACAGGGCAATCATAAATATCTAATGTTCTAAATCCCAGTGAAGCAGATTGTAATGTTAAAAGTCATGTGTATCTTACAACTAATAGAAATCTGGATTCTGATTGCTACCCATTCATTTTCCTTCCATGTTTTCATTTGACCATATCTACATTTACAAATTATTGCAATTAAAGCAGGGCAAGTCGACTCATTGCAAAGAGATCTATTGCAGCCTCTTAATACCCTTCATGGGATTATAAATTCCTGACTGAATATATCATTGCAGTAGGTTGGAAATCAGTGCCATAATTTCAAATCATTCATAGGTAAGAAACAATGACAACTGTACTGCAAGTCCTAAAATAGATTTCAACTAAAAGTGCAAAGAGAAAACCTAACTCCTTTCTCCAGGTTATCCTGGTCCAATCCATGTACATATAGTTTGTTTTTGCATCTGCATCATCTCATGTAGCTCAACACTGGATCATTCCACAAGTCAAAGTTACAGCCCCATCATTTTGAAATTAATTTGATAGTGCTCAAAAGGCACTAAAGTTTGTGGAGAGAACCATGAGTAGCTACTTAAGCACCTGTTTGAGGCCTACAAATGACATGGCTGCTTTAAAAGGGTGAAAAGAAATGCTTTGTATGTCCTTCAATGTGTTGCCACCATCTTTATGAATACTTTGCAGAGCTCTCAAAAATAGTGCAATGCATGATATATTTCATGAGAGGGACAGACATCTCAGTCATGTCATAAAATGTTTATATAGCTCCCTTCCTGGGAAAACTGAAAAGGAACAAAATACCCATCAACTGTTTTGAATGAAACCTTTGGTGGCTCTGCATGATATCAAGCCCAGATAATTCAGTGGGCATCTTGTATTCCAGGAGTTTCCTTTGAGATGAATTATTTGAGCATTCCATTTTACAAGGCATGTTACCAAGGAAGGAATCTATGAACTTTACAGTAGCTGAACAAAACAAAATATTTCCTGGCATCTCTCCCTAAATGGGGGAATGCTAGCTGGCAACAACTATTTCATCCTTACCTCTCTTTCCATTTCCATCAGATTAATCTATACTTCTTTCCTCTCTCTTCAGAGACAAAACCTACTCAGCAGTTTCAGAGGAAGTGCTCCCCCCCCACCCCCATCCTTTAACTGATACACTGTACCACTTAGTGCTTTTTCTCACAGAATCCGGGTGTCCTCTGGAGGAAAGTACTTCTTATTGGCTTCCTTAGGTTTGAAATCACCAAGTGATTTAGCAATAAAGGAACTGAATGAAGCGCACGTGCCCAGTGAGGTCTGGCAACCAAAACCAAGCAACGCAGATGCAAGTAGGATAAAGATCCATGTGACCATTTACTACCCCCTCCCATCATTGCAATGCATTTGGCTCTTTGCTCTGTATACCAGTAAAATGAATAGAGTACTTTCATTGCTATTCAAGCAGTTCAGATTCCAGCACTGTCAGAAGTAACTGGTGCCAAGTTATCAATATTGTTTGAGCTGAAGTACGTAAAATAAACTTTTGGGCTCTTAATACCTGCCTGGAATGCTAAACTGTTCTCTTGTACCTCATTACAGGATGGGGAGAGGGATGAAAAAGAGAACAAATGCAGCTAAGTTTAAAAATTTCTGAAATATACATCCTTTATATTTGACAAAAACAGTTATCTTTTTAAAAAATTCTTGTAATTACACCCAGATCAATAGATCAGGCTAAAATTATGATTTTCCCCTTATGTTTTGGATACTAATAGAGAAAATTTTAATTGCTTAGAGAACTATGTATACAGAATTAGCCAAACATGAAGGAAATACAGGTGCTTAAGTAGCCTTAGGATGAATGGTCTGTAATTTGTCAAGACTGAAGGTGACTCCACTGGACCAAGATTAATAACAAAGTTATGACTTGGAACTGCAAAGAATTGACTTTTTTGTTGTTTTTTGGTCTTTATTCCTAGCCAAAAGGGTGTCCCTGATTCAGCTTACCTTCTCCAGACAGAGTGGAGTCAATGCCAACCACAAAAAGACAAAAATGTGATGGGGGAGGCCAATAGCTTGGCTTTCTACTTGGTAAGCACTTGGGTGTATGTTTGAAAAGATGAACAATTATCACAGGAATGTAGGCATATGCTAAAAATCAATACATGGACCACTTGAGGCTTTGTTGGAAGACACTAAATTGCAACATGGAGATACACAGGAATGTCCATGTTGACTCTTAGAACTTGCCATCTTTTTAGAGCTCTTCAACTCCCAATCCACCAAAAAGAAAAAAGCAAGAGACATTACAATTTACACTTTTTTCTTTGGTGCATAAATCACTCTGAACGCTCAGAGTAATGAACCTGTCTTTCTTTTTGTTATTCTATGATATATCATTCCATTTTATCAGGAACACATGGATACACTGATGCTACTATACGTTTGCTTTTGGTTTCTTCCCTTGTTCCCCAACCAATTTTTGGTTGCCAAATACATTTTAGAAAGCAAAAGGTATCCTCCCCTGTGCCTTTATTGACTTTTGAAAACTACTATGAGGTTCAAATATTTATTATTTTGGCCAACAGGATTAAATTAGCAGTGTGAATGACAAGTATGCTTAGAAAGGTATTTAGTGGCTTTGAGAATGTTATTAAACTGCAGCTGCCCCACATATTCTTATGTGATCATCATCAGACCAATTTTAAAACTTTGCTTTCCTAACATCAATAACATACTCATCCCTGTGGTATTTGTGTGCTTGGAATATGCTAGGAATGTAACTAAAACTGCCTGACAGCTGTTGGTATTGTCTTTGTCTAATCACTTTAAGCATCCAGATTGGCCAGATGTATCTGAGTAATTGTCATTGGAAATGTTACCTCAGGTTATACACAAAGGCAAGTTCTCCTTCATGTAAATGAGCAAATGGTTAATCCATCTAGTTTCCTGTTACTATTAGCTTCCAGGACAGCGAGGGATATTGGCACCTTTGGGATTTGAGTGTGTGTTGTTGGACATCTTGTGATGGAACATTTAAAGTAATAGTTTATAGAAACCTGGAAGACATTCATTGTGCACAAATCTCATTACTTTAAAACAATACCAAGTATAACTTCCCATAAAAGGTCCCTTTCCCTCTTCTTGAAAATTGAGGAATATCTTTATCTGGAGATCCAGGCACTTCTGGTGTGAGGATTTTTTTTTCATTCCCCATAAAAGGGCAGATCAAATCTACTAACTGAAATGAATAGAAAAAATCTTGCAGACAGGAGTACTCCATATCTGATTCGCCAGTTGCGGCCGTTTCTGGACCGGGACGCCCTACGCACGGTCACTCATGCCCTTGTGACTTCCCGCCTGGACTACTGCAATGCTCTCTACATGGGGCTTCCCTTGAGGAGCACCCAGAGGCTCCAGTTGGTCCAAAATGCGGCCGCGCGGGCGGTGTTGGGAGGGACTCGTCACTCCCACGTTACGCCGC